TCTGCCACCCTCAACATAAAGAAGTTATTCCTTATGTTGAGGTGAAACTTACTGTGTGTTAGTTTATGGCCATTGCTCCTCATTCTCTCATTGTGCACCACTGAAAAGAGTTGGCACCATCCTTCTGGCATCCACCTTTGAGATATTGATATACATTAAGGAGATTCCCTCTCAGTCTTCTCTAGACTAAATAGGCCCAGCTCCCACAGTCTTTCCTTATAAGAGAGGAGAAATTTAATCCATTCAACTACATTGTAGCAGTTAAAATGGATTAAATACTTGTATTTAAAATACATGTATACATAGACATGGATTTTTATTTTATTTTATTTTTACTGGATAACTCTGGAGTTCTCTGCATCCTTTATTTCAGTGATCAGCACACCAAGGATGAAGCACTGCTGTAGGGGTATGCAAAAGCAACATCACATGCTGACAGCTCCCAAGAGGCAGGAAAATAATACTGTAAATGCAAAGTGTAAGGTCATTAAATGAATACTGGTTTTAGCTGAAACTTAAGAGATAGAGACCTTGAAAACTAACACAATTGTACAAGTGACTGTAACTGCAGTAAATTCAGAGGGCCTCTTTTTCCTTTATTCTTGGAATAAACATTGTTCTGACTCAGTGTTTGGAAGGCCACTTAGTGAAATTCTTCATTCTCCAATACATTATTGAATTTTGCTACATTTTTATAACAAGGCAGGAATGAAAATAAGGATTTGTTTTGGAATAAGTGAGCAGAAACACAGGTGCAAATTCACAATGCACATCAAAGACTTCTCTGCACAAACAGGTAGAGATGACTGCATGTTCGCTCAGAACTTATTCTGTGCTGATTCTGATCCTGAGCAGCCAGGCAGAGCAAGTGCATTTATTAACACTGTGTAGCCTTACCTTTATTGTTTGGATGGATGCTGGTAACCTGTTCTGGAAATCTCATGTACAGTGTTAGTGTCCAACTCCCTGGAGGTGAATAAACTCATACTTTATGTGTGTCAAGAATGACCCACCCAGTCAAATAGTTACTCATTGGTAACTTACTATACTACACACTGGCTCTATGCTGCAACATTCCTACTGCAGGCAAGCTCTAAGTATTTTATAGTTGTGTAGATGTCAGCATTTTTATATCACATTGCAAGAAAGCTATCAATGTAATTTGATCTTGAGAGAGAGAACATAAAGGCTCAAGTACTGTTCATATACTCTGATTATCTTTTTCCTGCTCCACAGAGCTGTGGCATTTTTCTTATCCAGTTCGATCTATCCTCCAAGGTCCATGTGGTGTTACTATGCCAGTAGTATTGTTTCCCAGTATGTTTTATGTAAACAGAAGAGTTTATGGCTTGAGTTCATTTACCTTCTTCACAGGGTTGTGCATGTCTCTCTGGAACAGCAGGAGCCCAATGCAAGACAAGCCTTCAGTGCTCAGCTAAGCTGAGGACAGACTCAGCAGTCACCCACTTCTCCAAACCACAGCTGGGACTGGACATTACCTGGTTATCTTTCAGTATACACTGAGCCACATGGAGATGATAAGAATTTTAACTGGGGGCTTGCTTGCTTAGCCAATTGTGCTAAACAGCTGTAAGGATTCTCACATCCCATCAGTGAGGAAGTGTAAAACTGTTTAGAAGCAAATGGTGTTTCACAGCTCTTGTTGTCGGCTTCTGAAGGCTTGTTTATTATAAGAATGTTGAAAGTAATGTGCTATACTGTGGACATTAGGTTAGTGCCTGCACTTAAGATTTCTTACTGCCTTCATCATCCATTCACTATACGATAAGCTCTCATAAGTCACTTTCTCTCAGTGTTTCAGCTTTCCCATGTATGAAATAAGCTTAATGATACTTTCCTCTAAATGGTATTTTCAAATCTGTGTATGACTGAAATTACTAGGGGTTTGCCTCTATTAAAGGTATATAGTTTACACTGCTGTAGCTTAACTGGCATTTACTTAGCTTTACCATGGAAGTGAGAACTGAGGCTTCTGTGTATGTTCTTGTTTTCCATACTAATGCTGGTTTTCTTTATTTAGATAGGGCCTAAGCATCTGGGTCCAGCTGATAAAGTTTCATTTTCAGTTGTTTGCTCCTGCACAATTGGTCATTAAATTCAGCAATTTTGGGATTAAGCTGAAAGAGTTGTAATTAAAAAACCTAAGTATCAAATATGGTTGTGGGATAGTCACAATCATTTTACAGACATCAAAAGTGCAAAGGAAACACTGGTGGTAAAAAAAGTTTCTCTTTCCCTTCCCTGAATCTCATGTATTTGTAATAGATACAGAGCCCCCCAGTTCCTTACTTTTCTCCCACACTCCTGTGTTTTGAATGCTAATCATAGGACACAGAAAATGTTCACAGAGGGAAGGTATGTGGCTCTTTTTTATTTCAAGTATGGATACATCCTTTTAATTGCATGCAGACAGCAGATGGTATGGCTTTTGTGGCATCATGAACTCTAGCACAATATAGTCAGCCACTGCACAGCATGGTACAATTTAAATCTGAGTAAATATGGGGAGAGTGAAGGGTTAGGGGTGGGAAGGCAGTAATTCCTAGGACATTTGTTCCATTTTGATTTTACAAATTGACCGTGATCCTGTTCTGCTTCACTCATGTTAACTTTCTGCATCTGCTCTAGAAAACTCTTTTCCTGCCACACACATACCCCCAAGCAAATGTTTTAAAAAGTTTTTAAAAACTTCAAAAAAAGCATCTCCATTTGAAAGTGTAATGTTTTCTTTCATATGAAATGTAAGATTTTCAAGTTACTTTCTCTCAGACTTCAGAAAAGGAAGTAGGTAAAAGACCAACCCAGAAATAACATAAATTCCCAAGCCATGAGCATGAGGTAAGCTCTTTACTATGCACAGGTATAATCTCTCATAAAACTGACTCGGAATTTTCTGAAGCTTTTTCTGGTCAGAGTTTTTTTTTCCATTAGAAGCCCCCTTCTTGCCTGATTCAGACTTTTCACCCATCAGTCAGTGTGTTCTTCTGAATCCATCTCATTTTTCCCCTCTAAGGAAAAGTGTTGAAACTGCAGAAATTTTCCTAAGGCAGGGAATGTTTTCCTATTCAAAACTCACATGCCCTGTGAATTCTGTCATTGGTTTAAAGGCCGTACAACTTAGGACCAGCGGAGGCTTTGTACAGAAGAAAGCAGCTTAGCAAGTAAAATTGAAAAAATAATACAAATTAGAGAGGATTCTTTTCATTGAGTTGCAGCATACCCTGACATGTGATATGCCATTAAATATATGAGTACATAGCAAATATATTTAAGTTTAATGAAACCTTAACCCCCAACATTTACTAATTTAAGGGCTTATTGTAGTATGCTGTGACAAAATATTTGGATATAGGCAGACTTATTTCTAGTTCCTCTAGAATTTAATGCTGGTATGACATAATCTATATCCAATCCCAAATCTGTGAGGCTGCATCAAGAGACAGCCAGTATGTGACCATAAAGGAGAAGACTTGTAGGAGGCAGCATTTGCTAAGAGGCACCGTTCTTTCTCAGTTCAGTACAAGAGCTTGCAAACTACACTACGCCCTCCAACATGCAGGATTTAGAGCTGAGGGAGTGTACAACTGACTGTGTGAACTCAAAGACAGTGTTATTGATCATAAAACTATTAGATGTAACAGTGTTTCTACTTTGTAGAGTTTAACCATAATGATATACCATGATACATGATATTTAACATTTTTCTGAAGTCTCATTCCATGACTGAATCTTGTCTTGATCTCTGATAGAGTGTAGTATGGGTAAGTATTAACTAGAAATTCAGAAATGGTTAGATAGAATACATTAATGTGAAAGTACACCAAGGAGAGCAGTGGTGAAGTTTAGTGGACCTTTGTTTTTCATGTTTTTAATCACTTAGTCTATGTTCCTGTTTTTCTGAACAGTTTCTTTATTCTAAATAGACATATCATTGTATTAGCATGTGGGATTACATTAATTGCATTTAAGAAATGGAACCCACTTTGCACATAGCAACACTTGTTGAACTTGCGTTATGTATTACTCCAGATTTTCATAAAACTGGGCAAAATGGGAGTTTCCTTTTTGATTTTCTGTTCCTTCCTGAATTCATTAATTAAATAAAAATTCCAATCTATGGTGCCATTCTCACATAAATTTTAGGAATAGTTTTCCTCGGATTAAAAACAGTGGAGCTATGCCAATCCACAGCAGCTGGGAATTTCCTACCCTGCTAACTGTGTGTGACAGTGGATTTGATAGGCACAGGACACCTCCTGTATGCATTCTAAATTATCCGTCAGACTTCTTGTCTTTTAACATATGATTCTCTTGCATAAATCAGAACTCTGCTGCTCCAAAATATAGCTTTTATACCTTGTGCAAACACTTCCTAAGCAATACACAAGACTGTTTGTCTCTCAATATTAAATAAGGTATGCAAACATCATGCCATGGAGGTATCTAACGTACTTTATATCTGAGTAATGTAAAATATTTTATACTTCTTTCTTTTTTTCTATATGGAGATAAGGTTAAGACATGTGCAGGTGCAGTAATTTACCCTGAACCCTCTCACTGCCCATATCCTGCCAGAATTACTTAGGAATCTGTACAGCTTGTTTCATATTTTGAAATCTCAGGACACTGCTTTGAAGCCATTTTCTCCCCTTGTAACATATTTTACCATTATTCTATCCTGAATGCAAAAAGCAGTGGAATCTTGAAAGAAAAAATGTATCACTTTGTTTAAATATGCACTAAAATGGAAACTGAGCTTTTGTCCCTGATTTCTGCTGATCTCCACATTATTTCCAAGGATGTATAATTGAATTATAACCTTGATTTTCATACAGGTCAACGGCATCCATGCTAGTGACTCACACACATCATAAAAGTATATTTCCAAGGGGTGTGGATATAGGTGGGCTGAACAGCTTGGGCTGGTTTACAAAAACCGGGGCCTCAAGCCATCTGCACATCTCCATTCTTTGTTCCAGCTGCTACTCTGCTCTACAAGCCACATTACCAGGGCAACATGGCATTTACAGGCAAATACGAGTTTGAAGGCGATGAGAACTATGATGACTTTGTGACGAAGATTGGTGAGTATGTTGTGGGTGTAAGACTTCAAGGTTATAAATTAGTTAAAAAGCCTTTTTTTTTTTCCTTTTTTGAAGTGCTTTTTACTGAAATGTGCTGAGATCCACAGGGGCTAAAAGTGGTAGAAGCGCTCTACACTTCAGCAAGGCGATTCAGTTTTCATTCTTATGGCACTTAAGCACTGCTAGCTGCAGAAAATAGTCCTGTTTTACAGAATTAGTATTTCATTTCAGTGACAGTAGAATGAAGGGGCAAGTTGTTTGCAGTTTGATGATTGTGAAGGTAACTTCTTCTGTCCCATTCATGAGTAGGGGTATAACTTTAGTATGAAAACACTTGTCAAAATCTTACACAGTAACAGGTTTCTGTGAATGCTTTCAGAAGACTGCAAATCTGTTTCAGAGATTACCCCATAAAAGCTTTTTATGGACGCTATGATCTGAACACATAAGTTCAGTGCTTGTGTTTATTAATTTAAATAGCGCTAGCACATAGTGAATAGGTATGTGCAGCTACATAGCAAAGGCACATACAAAAGTTCATACATGTTGAATTGCACTCATCTGCATGTGGAGGTTAATAGAAGGGGTTATTTCCACATATATTGTATCTATACATGTATTCTGTTTATCGCTTCTCAGGGAAAAGGATGTAAGACTAAAACTTATTTTAGCACATGCACTGCTGTGTACCTATAGTTTCCTTTATACCAGTCATTTAAACTCAGGGCTTTGAAACTGCTAAGGACAAACATACCATTAGCATGCTTCAATTCAAATACAGCTAGTAAGCTATTAGATTTGATAAACTGTATGTTTCTATTGATTAAGGTCTCCCCAGTGACAAAATTGAAATGGGAAGGAATTGCAAAATAGTCACTGAGGTGGTGCAAAATGGAAATGACTTCACCTGGACACAGCATTTCCCAGGAGGCCGTACCACGACCAACGTATTCACAGTTGGCAAGGAAGCAGACATGGAGACAATGGGTGGTAAAAAGTTCAAGGTAAGTTCATTTAGCTCTTCAGTTCTACCCTGTCTCAGTTGTCTTTTAATTTAGGGTGAAAATCAAATCTGTCTCAGGCACATCTTCCTTAACTTGATTTTCTCATCTGTCATAGCTTAGAAACATGGAATTTGCCTCCATTTCTTGATGCCCCTAGCAAAATATTTAAATCTGATTTTAAAGAGAACTACAGCTTCAGAACTGTATGTACTAATAAAGAATGAGGGTAGAGTGTCAAGAACCTACTGGTATTGCAGCTCAAGCAAACATAATGCTCATTGCAACTCTATAGTTAGTTGGCAGCTGTGTCATGGTCCAGCAGCTGCAGTATGCTGAGGGGAGTGCTGTGGTCTCTAGCTTTGCCCATGCCTGTCTGCAGTGCTCACCTTTTGAAGTCACTTGTACCTGAGCCTTAAACAAAAGGCTGTATAAAGTGAAGGTCGGGAAAAAAATATTTCTGTATCCTCCTTCCTATTGGAAGTACAGAGCAACCTGCAAGTTAAGCAGCCTCTTGCAAGATGGAAGATTACACAGTACTGATCTGCTCATGTCACAGACAAAATCTGGATACAAAACCTGCTGTAAAATTGTTGCTTTATTTACCTTATTAATTTCTCAACTATTTAAAGGAATAAGACAGTTTGGGATAGCTAAACTCTGCATCTGTGAGGTGTCCAAAACCCTGCAGTAAATAACTGGATAAATGTTTTATACATATTGGACAGACAGGAAAACCAGTAGTTGCATCAGAGAGCTGTAGCAAACAGAGCTTAACAATAGCATTGCATGATTTCCAGAACTTTTTTAGTCACACCTTTCTGTTTATGGAAGGTAAAAAACTATTTCTTTGGCTTTGAGAAGTCTTTGTGAAACCTGACAGATAGAATAAGACACAATTCTACTTGGTCAAACTATTGCAAAGTTAACAATTCTGAAATACTCCAAATTCCATTCTTTGTGACTCTGGCACTTCAGCAATTCAAGCCTATTAAGTAACCAAAGATGGAGGCAGAGTAAATGACTCAGTAGAGAAACCACCGCCTTTATAGTATAGTGTTGCTGAACAATATGTAAGTTAGTAACATGGTTTTCTGGTACGTGGTAGAATATATCCACTCTTCATTCTGCAAATTATTTTTTTTTTCCCCTTGAAGTATAACTGCCTCATCTGTTTTTATTGCTAAAAGCAAAGATAAGACTGACTAGTTACACAGACAAGACTGATTTTGTGATGGAATTACATACCTAGTTTTGGTGCTCAGCTGGGCTGCTGTAGTATTTCTGGCATACTTCTTCCATACAGAAGAACCTTTAACAGCAATTGGTACAGGATCTAGGGTAAAGATCCACATCACTTGTGCACAGTGACTTTCGTGCTGCTTGCAAGCAGGTTGTTGGTATCAGAGAATGCTACTTGTTAGATGGACTGTTAGATGAACATTTTTCTATTTAAATTGTGAACATATAAGAACTAAAGCACCAACATTTTAGTCTTGTTCATGAAGCTGCATGTGTAATACACGACAATATTTTTAAAGGTAAAAGCTTCAGCATCAGGTGTACAGCTGTTTACTGTGTATCTGATAATAAAAATGCCAGTAACCCCAGGGAATATTAAACCTTTCTCTATTACAGGCAACTGTAAAAATGGAAGATGGGAAATTAGTAGCTGATTTTCCCAACTATCGCCATACTTCAGAGATTTCTGGAGGAAAGCTTGTGGAGGTGAGTTCTCAAATATCCAGGTTAGCTTATAAAAACCAAACCAACTAACAAAAACCACCTCAAAAGTAGCAGGCTTAAAATCCTGAGTTTTACACAAATGAGATAATTGTTCTCCAAAAGCAGTAAGTGATTCCTTTCAGGGAGGATAAGCATCCTTTCTTGATTCACAGAGTAACTTACTTATGGTTAGTGTCTGTTGAAGATGCACTCAGATATGACTGGCACAGACATAAGTCAGTTCAGGAAAATTTTTGAGAATCAGAAAACATGATGTTTGACAATCCTGTTTACAAGTTTTACTGTAAGTATTGTAGTTTCAATGATCTTCCAAAGCTATATTGCCATTTTGTTGATAACTTGGAGGTGCTGAAAGCAGGATACATTTAAGTTATCCCTAAACCTCTAAAGCTTTTTGTGTAACAATATTTTTGCACTGTATATTTCAAACTTGACAATGCCATTAAGCTTATTTTTTAATGTCTTCTACCCAAGGGTGAATGTTGCTTCAGTAAAGGATAGGTTCTGTGAGCCAGTCAGCAGGTCTTTTAATTTGTGACACTGAAGCTATAATTGCAGTTTCAACCCAATTTTAATTTGTTCTTTATTCCAGATTTCTACTGCTTCTGGTGCAGTCTACAAAAGGGTCAGCAAAAGGATTGCTTAAGACAGTGAAGCCAGTCTCTTCCAGTGCACTGGAAAACATTCAACAATACAAATAAATACGGATTGTCTTTCTCACTCTCTTTCACTGTATTTACAAACATGAAGAATTGGTTTTCAGAGTAATGTTATCCTCAAAATTAATCATACTCCATGCCTAAAGATCTGACAAATACTAGAAAATCAGAATGCAAAAATCAGAAGATGCAACAAAGCATTGGGTGATGCTGTCCAGTCTTTCAGGGTATGATGCATACTTAGCATTTTCAAATGTTGTCTTCCACCTACTTAATAGAAGTTCTATTCAGTTTCTGTCTAGAGAATAAGACAGTACTCTGCCCAAAGTGTACATCAAAATGCAATACCTGATAAATGCCTTTTGTCCTATTACTGGTTGGAGGGCAGAAATTTAGGAGCTTGAAAACAAGAGAAAGTCAGTGTATCATTCATTAAAATATAAGCTTTCATACTGCTATCATGGTTTTCTCATTGTTGTCAATATCCCCTCCTGACCTGAATTCCTAGAAGATATTTAAGGTTTTACAGACAGGCTCCTATGAAAAAATGTGGAAGTCTTATTTTCTCAGTTCAGTCCTGTTATTTACATAAAGTGCATATGCGAACCTGTTCTCTTGACACAGCAGGAATTAAATATAAAAGTTTTTGGATTCACTGTTCTAAACCACTTCTGGCCAATACTGGGTCCACAAAGATTTTCCCTTTTCATGCTCTTTTTTTTCCAGCTTGTCTTGCCTTCTGGATCCACTGAGCTGTTTGGCCTCTCAAGCTAACCAGTAACTAGCCAGGGCATGTGTCTTGTGTACACAAAATTCATTTTCTGATTGGGTACATGACAACTGATTCGGAGAAAACTCCAGGAACAAACTCGCCAACAGTTTCAAGTTGACAAGCAGGTATTCATTATTGCGGCTCCCGGAGACACGGGGGATAGCTCCTCCTAACGTGTGTCCCTGTATTGCTACTCAGGCCATCCTTATATAATCACTGGGCATACTATACATATTCATGAGGCTATGCTTGAATTATATAATTTTCAAAAAAGTTTCCCGCATGTATACAAAAATGTGATGGTGGTCTTTGAGGATCGTTTACTTCTCCATTGTTCTTCATAACTTCTGGCAGTCTTGGAAGCACCAGCTTAATGGGTTCATTAACACCACAAACATAGCAATTATCCTGGCCTTCCATTTATCAGTTAGTTTAACTGTACCCACCCTGGACATCTGCTAGTCCCAAATACTCCCCATCCCCAGGTTGTTTCTCTAGTCTGCTTTTCTTACACTTTTTGTACTAAGGTCCTAAGGACCTAAAACTATGTCAACTACCTTCAAGCACCCCAGTTATTTTCCATTACAAAGCCATCAAACTTAGAACTGATTGTGCTTTTGTGCCTCCTTGTCTCACTGTTAATGCCAATCATTTTGGTATGTTGCATTTAAAAAGGCTTTTGATTCCTTTTTATATTTTTTCCTCAATAGAGATTACTAAATTTTCCAGCTGCAACAAGGTTTCATCCAAACTCCATCAGTTTAACCCAAACAGGCTACATGGGTCTTATGACCAGGTGTTGCTCAATGTATTGCTTACTCTGCAAGGCAAAGCATAATGCTGAGCTCTAATTAAACACAAGTAAAATCTGAAACCTGTTCAATCTTCAGACATTTTTCTGGTACTTACACAAACAAATCTACCGATTTCATAGAATTCTGCTGAAATTCAGCCTCTTCAGTTATATGAAATTATATTGAGAAGCAATAAGGGATCTCTCTAGGCTTACTCCTTGTTTGAGTTCAGGTGAGCTAGTACATTGTTGTGCAAATATGACATCTTAGAACATTTGGGTTTAGAATATGCCTGTCATATTCAACACTTAATGAATTACACAGAGTGACCCATAGAGTTAGGCAGAGGTAGACATTGGGCAAATGTTATATGAAACTAAAGCTTTTAGTGGAATTAAGGGATAGTGCTGTTTTGTCTGAACCATTTACTCTCCCAAGAGCCTTCTCTGAAGCAGGTGATGCTGATACCTTATGATTCCCTGCTTTGAAAACAAAATGAAACAAGGCACCACTAATTCCAGTTCTAGAGGCAACTATATTTAGCTTACACAACTGGCGCATTTTGTTTTCACATTCTACATGTGATTAACTCACTCTTCATTATACAGACAACAATGCTTGAAGGGTGGGATTCTTAGCTAGCCTCTCTAGAAAGCATTTAAGGGGTGCTTTCACATGGTAAAAAAAAAAAGCATTGCTGCCTTTTCAGCTGGCTTGTCTTGAAATGGCAGCAGAGAGCAAAATAAACCCCTTGTGGGGTGCAACTTGCACAAAATTGTCACCAAGAATCCACCAGTTTGGCCCACATTTGCTAGTATCTAGACTTCTCAGTAAAAAAATAGTACTAAACTAAATTTTGTTCAGCAACACCTGCACACGTTACTGGTGAGTTGATTAGACTGATCAAAGAGCATTATATACGCTTTAAATTGTTCACTACAGTGTGTAAAACTCGCTAAAACAAAAGGATCAAACAGCGGCTTTGACAACTTTGCAAACACCAAGTTGTGGCTTTCTTACAAATAGGGAGAGGGTAGTAGTTTCCTGCTTAAAAAAGCAGCAAGCTGCAGGTGCAAGATTTTTAAAGCTCATTTTAACCATTGCTGCCTGATCAACATTGGCAGACTTCTTCCATCTGTATCCTGCTGCAGCTCTTGTCAGGGCTCACTAATATATTTGGGGGTTTTATTTTAATGTCAGCTTTCTCTTTGGTTATGGTTACCTGTGCAACATCCTCCCCCCTGTGAGTAACTAGTGCCATAGCCCATTTTGTATTCTGAGCCATGTCTTGCTGCATTTGCTTCTGCAGCAGCTTTCCTTGCTTCCAAGGCTGCCAGGGAAATACAAGCTAATCAACTTGTAAAAATTCTGATCTATGACTATAGACATAGATCAGTGACACCATCAAACAGCACAAGCACAATATAAGAAAAATTCATTTGTTTAAAAATTAACTCAGCTTTGCATGCACCTCTGCAGATCACTCCAGACAGAGCAGCTTTATGTGGGCTGCACTTTTACATTTGTTCTTCCTGATGAGGTGTTTTGACAGAAGAGAAAAACAAATAACCAGAGACATGAAAAAGTATTTACCTAGAAATTAAATGTGTGGAATTGCCACCAACATTCAAGGCACTGGGGAGAGAGCTGTCAGTCAGCAGTATTAAGCCAACTCAAATTCTAATAGATCTCTCCCCTTTCAAAGGCTGCTCTTGGACTTAACCTGCCCCAACTCCACCCACGATACAACAGCACATATGGAACATGGAAGTCAATGCACAATTCCTGCTTAGAATGTAGTCACCAGAAGAAAGACTGAATGTATAGCTGTATTCTCCTATTCAGTCTGTCAATCTCCTCAGGTAAGATAGCACCTCCAAAACACACTGGCCATCTGATCTGCTTTTGTATCTCCACCTTGTCTCTGCACATTTTCTGCCTTTCTTGTGCAGTGACCAAATATCCTGATCTGTCTAATCTTTCACAATTTATTTTTTAGCAAGGTCTTTCCATCACAGGTCTTACCACTCTTCTATAAAACATTATGACTGCTCAGATCAATTATTTTGAAGGTATAGACATGTACTTTTTACTAGCTGTTAAAAGCTAAGGAGAAACCACAAAAGGAAGAGAGTACTTCAGCTGTGTGGCGTGTTTATTAGAAACTTTCACTGGGAATTTAGCAAGTATTTTCACCATTAAGCACAATGGCAGTCCAAAGTATAACACTGCACATGATGCAAAAACTATAAGGGTGACGGAAACCTCCCCCCCACCTCCCTCCCCCCTTCCCTGTGTATGTTGTTCTTTATGACTCTTGAAAGACAAAAGCACACACTGAAGTCTTCTGAAAATAAAGTTTAATATAAATATAAAGCTAACAGAATAAAAGACAAAGTTCTCTAAAGTTCTAGAGTATTTCTGATGAGTACTGCCTCCTCAGTTATAGTTTGCATTTAATAAAAAAAAAAAGTCAAGAAGATTGCTCTAGCCTGCTGAATGGAAGAAATTATTAGCTTGATACCAGTTGTGTTCTTGGAACATAGTACACAAACACATGTTAGCATGCAGGCTCATTTTCCCCTTCCACCTTAAAACACCATTAAAAGCAAGTCTCTAAAAATATAATTTAAAACATCACTATGAGACACAAGGTGAAAAAAATGCCCCAAGTCAGTAAAAGCATATTGCACATTTCATGTATTGCTGTCCTGAGAACCTTCAGAGAGAAGGCAACCCAAGAGTACTGCCTTCAAACAAACTTACAGTAGGTTGCATATATCAAAACTAAAGGTTCACATTTGCAGAAGTCCATTTCTTGTAAAAATATAAATTACCATAAAAGTCTACAGTTTTCTGAACTATGAGCCCTGGTTTCAGTTGAGAAAGAACCCTCTGGATACATGACAGTAGATGTGCATCTCATTGCAAAGCTGCAACAGGATCTTCAATTTACCAGCTACATTTTCCAAGAGAATGCAAAGTCAGAAAAAACTGAGTCAGCACTGCAGTCAAACTCTCATTTCACAGTAAAGTTAACCAGTTCTCCACCTTTGCCCCATTAACACCAGTTCTTCTGTCCTGAGTCCGAGCTACTGCTAGAAGTCATTGAGCCCAAAAGATAAAATAACTGAAGGCCGTGAACCTTTTAAGAGGTTTTCCAGGAGGATTTCTTCAAGTAACATTAAATCCCTGATAAAGCTCATGAACAATTTTATTAAGAATAATCTCCAGTCTCAAAAGCAGCAGCATGTTAAAGATGTAAGAGATGATTTAAAGTTTTGGTTTTGTTTCTAAAATGCTTGAAGGCAGAGTGATGTTCTGTTCAGCAGCACCAAGTTCAGATTCCAGGAGAATTTCAAGTCAAAAAGTATTTGATAGTCTTCTGGCCAGTTTTTCTTTTTTTTCCTTTTATTCTAAAGTCTTACTCCTGAACTATCACTCCTGATCAAAGGAAATAGAAAGTGTCCTACATATAGATTTCTGCATAAACAAAGTTCACATTTAACTGATGCCAATTTCAGTATATTTTAGTAAAAGCTTCCAGTAGTATAAGCTGCCAGTGTTCAAAGCAACGCATCACTGGGAGAGATAGTACTCCATGTTTTCCAACAACAGCTTCTAGATAACATTGCTAGTTTGCCATAAATTCAACATATAGTCCAGCCTGAAATAACTCTTCAACACAAGTGTTCAGATAACTCTATTGAGTCACTAACTGAAAATCAGAAGGAAGTAATCTCCAGAGTCCCACACAGATGCCTCTCAAGGTGACATTGAGTGAGATATATTGACAGATTTCTATTTCTCTCTCTCATTAAAAGCCAAAGCTACAAGCCTTGGCAGAAAGGCATCAGGTTCCAGTCATCAGTGTATTTGTATCAACATTGTCTGAATGGGCAAGTCATAAGGATGTTGTTTCTCTATGGTTTTAATTCAGATTCACGTCTTATATCAGAGTCTCTTCTTCAGCTTCTATTCATACCACCTTTTTCTCCTGTCAGTATTTACCAGTCAAAACACCCAGCTGCATATGAATGATTATCACTGAAGTAACTACTGCCACAAACCATGGAAATGCAGTGTCTGCTCTCTGTTCCAAATGCCACCTGCACGGCAAAGGGTGTCTGGATGGGCAGAGCCTGGGCAGGTGGCTGAAGGCTGGGCTGAAGAGCTGTGTAGGAGTGCAGGGAGCTGTCAGTGCTCCCAGCAAGCAGACCACTGGGCCTGTGGGCCTGCTGTAAAGATTCACGATAAGCTGAGCACAGATCTTGTACTGGCCACTGGAACTGGGAAAACGTAGCTGAATGCTGTGTTAAAGGGTGGTAACTAGATTGCTGGAAGAGAACTTGAGTAGTAGCTTGGTAACTCAGATTTCCCACTGCTTCCTGTTCTTGATGTTGAATTGTTACTTGCTTTTTTACGTTATTGGCTTCATTGACGTCATTCTCATAATACCTGAAACAAATTATAAGTAGGATTTATTAAAAAGAACTTCATAGAGGCTGCATATATGCCAAAGTGTTCACCAGTTGGGCTACATTATCAGCTTTTTTGCCCTAGGTGTATATTGTGACTCTAGTTGCTTTCACAATTAATTTCTAATTATCCTGCTGCAATCTTCACACACAACAGGTCTATGGATTATTTTGCATCACAAGTATGTTTTTACTGATGGACCGGCTGTCTTGGAATCTTAAGTCCACAACATAGAGAAATTTGAAATAGTATTTGCAGAGTATTAAAGTGCATATCTATAAAGGAACAATGCAAATTCCAATTGATATTAGAAAGAAACATTTTCACACTTGTGGCTATCACGAGAATGATGATGCACTGCAGCCAGTGGCCCTGAGAGGTTAGGAAGTCTCTGTCCTTGGAAACAGCCAAAATTTGACTAGACAACATCCCAAGCTGTCTGATTTATTTAACTTCAGTTGGCCCTGCTTTTAGTAGGAATTCAGAAGGTCCACCATCACTCCCAGCCTAAACAGAAAATTTTAAAAGCCAAATAGAATGATTAAGACTGTATGTGCTCACATACCAGAGCAGTATTGATGCATCCCAGTCATGTCCTTTACTAGAGAAAAAGCAAAGAACAGTTCTGAAATGTCTCCCTAGTGTATTGTTGGAGATGTGTGTCTCTGCAGCAGGTGTATTGTGGGTACAGTAAGAAAACAAAGGGAAAAAATATTTCATCAACCATCTCTAAAACCTTCCATCCAACCACACAGACAACCAGTAGAACATAATGAACACTAAACTGTGCACACTGTTCTGCATTGTAATTGTTGTTAAATACAATATTTAGTAAAAGTGACCTGATTTTTAATCTTTTATTCCTCTCCCCAAACTGAAGATGGAGACTACTAATGTAATATTGTACTATCTTAATTCTAGCCAAACAATTACTTAAAGAAAATAAAAATAAAACAACATCTTAACATCTTCTTAAAAGCACAAACAGGTTTTGTTCCTTTCTTACATGAGCATCATCTCAATGCACGGGGCAAGATGTTCCAAGGAATAGCATGTTAGCCATTCAAGATGCATTGTCCAGACAGGAGAAACCTGCATACAGATACGTGCGGCACAAACACAAGCTGCAGCAATCAGAGATGGACGAAAATGGAGGAAAGTGGGATCTACAAAAGAAAAAACAAACCCAAGAATTATACTCCTGCTCATCACTGCAGTGAACACAGTATACATGGCAAAACAGGACAAAATTACACCCACAACTTTGTTCCACACATCTCAAAGTATTAACTCATGACCAGAAAAAGCCTCTCAAAACTGGATGAAGCTTTCCTGAAGATCTCTGTGCTACTTGTTCGTAACTATTATCAAGGCTTCAGTAAGTTTTTATTTCAGAAAAGGCCACAAAATAGACTTTGCTGAAATTTGTAGACTGGTCTCAGCTGAACCACAGTTTGGTACTGGCAATTACACACATATTAATATTAGTGTTGAACCCAGCCTATGAGGATGCTGTAGTTCACTGGCTCTCACATGGGCAGATATTAGAAGCGATGCTACAGATAAAATCATTAAAAGCCCCATTGTTCTAAATATGTCTTGCAGCACAGGACCCTGTAAAAAATATCATTTAAAAAGATTCATATATTGAACTGCATATCGTATCTGCAACTGACAGTAGTTCACAGTCTGTGGCAGACCTAAACTTAGACCCCATTTCTGAGAGCCTCACCAATTAGTGTTCTAAGCTGAAGGAAAAACCTGATCCCACCTAGAGATTTCTGAAGAGACAAGACACTTGCACACAAACAAGGGTCACCTCCCATTTGCCATCTGAAATAACTGCAAAGAGAAACCATTTTGCACAGATAACTTTGTGCAATCCACATTATGACAAGTTTTAAAGCCTTTATCTCTTTCAGACTTTTGCCTTTTGCCTAATGGAAGATCATTCTAGCACAAAACTAATCCTCCTACCTTGCACTGAGAAATCAAGGAAATAATATGCATATTTCTCCAGAAAGTCTTTGGCTTCAGTTGGCGAGGTGATGGGCCAGCCATTGTAAAGTTCATTCTCTCCAATAGACATGTAGAGGTAGTAGTCAATGTAGTGTGCTGGTGTTGGCATACAGAGGTTCCAGTCGAAGATTTCCAAAAGCAGTAATTCTATCGCAAGCAAATCTTGCTTGTTTAATACCACATTCACTTTGCACATGTACGCCAGGTTATTTAAGAGCGCCAACTTTGGAACTTTATCTTCTCTATCTTCAAATTTACCTGCCAGAAGAGATGGTTTTCAGGTAAGATTTATCATTATGATTGAGCGTCCAAAAGCCAGTAAAGAACACTCCCAGAAAGTCTAATGATAAAAGGTGCTTTTTAAAGAATGGTGAGAAAGTACAGTGACACAAGAAAGGCAACAGACTAGCCAATGTATTCCTAATGTCCTTTTTACAGTTTTGTTTTTGTTAGTATACTATCAGTGACAAACCCAGGATTATAAACACATTAGGATTACAGACAGTTTTGCTGACAATAAATGGAAGCAATCTGCTGAGGGGTATTCAGTCAAGTGTGTAGAAAGTAAGCAGCATGGGGAAAATATAGCAAAGAAAGATCTAATATTGAGAGAAAAAAGCTCCTTTGGGTATAAAAGCTAAATGCACATGCTACAAAAAGGAAGACATTAAAAACCCCTGGGCAATGCCACCTTTGCCCTTGCTGCTTCAGAATTTCTCTTTGTTCCTTCCTGTCTTGGGGGGGCCTCATTAACTAAGGTCACTGAATGGCTAGGAGAAATACACTGTAACCAAGTGATTAACATAAATAATTCCTACAGGGTTAGGAGAGAGCATACATTTTCAGCCAAGACAGCTGAGCAAAGCTCCACCTTCTTCTAAACTGTATTTACCAGCCTACTGAAACAGCAGTAGCCTCTAGAATGACTCAATTTTCAGCAGTAAGTACAAAGTGCAGTCATTTTGTACAGAAAACCAGGATCTCGCTCTATTTCATAAAAAGCATCCTCCTTTCATAAAAAGTGTCCAATAGATCTAGTCCTGGGAGTCAAATCCGCTGAGAAATACAGCAACAGTGTTACTCTGCTACAAACTTAAAACAATAAAATCTTGTTAAATTCACACTATTACTTTTTAACCAAGCTGATAAAGACCTATCTACCAGACTCTCCTTGTTCAAGAGCTAGCAACTATCGACCACCACTAGTAAATTTCCACTGCACCTTAAAGAACATCCCTGCTGCAAAACCCAAACCCATAGCTGCTCAAGAGTACTCTGCAGTTACTTTTCCTTTTTGTTCTTGAGGGCATGTATTCCACAATTGATTCTTGTTTCAGTTGTCCTTTTGCTGCCTCTGTAAGAGTGCTCCTTTACCAACATAGACCAAGTGACAAGATATCGGCATGTCATATGGCTTCAGTGTCTTGTCAAATCTAAGTGACTCAATATTGCACTAGAAAATTGTTTTAAAAGATGTTACCAACCGTTTGAGATACCAATTCCATCCAAAGTGTTTCCAGTGTATTAAAACTGACCATTTTCTGTACTCCTAGCAGCTTGAATGTCTTTTTAACACATTCAAAAGTGGATATGAAATACATTATAAGTGTAATATGGCAGCACCTCACCATAAAAGAGCAGAACAATAGCAATGAAAAACAAAATTCATCCATCATATTAAGTACAATACAAAAGGGTTGTGGGCATACTGTCAGTGAAAAAGCCCTTGAAATTCAGGAGTCTGTATATGCGTTCATGAATCTCCTTGTTACCTAAACTTAGAAGTGTTTAAGAAAAATTAAATTTGAGAGGAAAGTTAACCCTTTGTTCTCCTCCTTCCCCCCAGGTGATGTCAGCCTGGTACAGAAATTTAATGAGTATGCTAGTGGAAGTAGGAGAAATCACTGCATGCCCAGAAAACTACAGACAGGATCTGTCATTCTGGCTCCTGTAAGGTCTGTAAGCTCCTTTCTTCCCACTCAATTTTGGAAATTTCAAAAGGTCAAACTATAGTCTGGAGAGCAGCACAATAGTGTTAGGAAGGTATCATACTAACAAAGGACAAAGCTATTGACTGGAAAATTCTTCCTTTTAACTTTCCACCTTGATCTAAAACACTTTGTTTCCAAGTTTATCAAACCCCTTCCTCACCTATTTTGAATTGAAATCTAGAGAGGACAGCAAAAGTTATTTCATGCCATCAGACCAAAGAGGTCAGAGGCAAGCTGGCCATGAGCAAGTTGGAGATGTTTTTTAAAATGCAGTGTGACTTTTTCCAGTTCCCCAGTTTCCCTAATTTAAGGATATCAAAATATAGCATTCCTATTTTTGTTCCTTCAGTTGCAGCAGTAACTGAGGTTCTATGCACAGCGTATTTATGCTGAGAGAACCAGGACCTCCAACACAATCGCTGCAAGAGTATTAAAGGCTCAGCCAAGACAGTTTCAAGTTTAATACTGACCAAACAAATAACACTGACTTGATTAATCAACATCACACTTTGGGAAGAAAACCAAAGCTGTTTCACCTAAATTATCATCTGGAGTCTGTCCTTTGAAGTCATTTGCATGCTTTTGAAATGCCACCATAGACACCTCAAATTAAAAGTTTGGTCTTGGGTTCTGGGGTTTGGTTACTGGTAAAACCATTTAGTTGTCACTATTGTCACCTGAAAAAGTTTTTCTTTGAGGTAACAATTATCAGCCTTTAAAGCAATGCTTAATTTAAGAAATATGTGGATGCTGCAAATTTTTATACAAGGAAACTTATTGAGGTCAATAGGGTAAATAAAATAAGATGAACCTGTAACATATGTTTACATTTATGAGAAACTTTTTTGTAAAAATCTAAATAAATGGGGGCAGAATGGAACATTTTTAATGTGTGTAATACCACTGTGATTAATGATAACAAGGTATTTCCAAGTTACTTTAGATGATGTTCTGTCCCACTCCAAATTCTACAATCAGATGCTCCCCAGCCTAAAAAAAAGTGAGTGCTTTTTGTGTTACACATTCACACTTTTCTTTTGATGAATGAAAGCCAGAGCAAGTCCTGTTGTCAAGGGGACAAGGCTGAAACTATAAAGAAGTGCATTTCATTAGCACATTTGTCACATTATCAGAACAGCCTATCAATCCATGCCAGCTTTTCTCTAGGAAAAAATAAAGGTCTTAGAGAAGCATCACTCCTATCAAATATACCCTGAAGAACTGCTTCATCCACTGCAGCAGGCAACTGGATGGAGCAGTCACAATGTAAATCTTGCTACACAGCAGCAGTTCAGACTGATTGCTACTGGTTGGGTAGGTATCTTCCTGGGGTTTTACATGGGCAGCAAAACAAAGGCAGGACATGCAGGCAATTTCTTTTATTACATTTTCAGAGTCCTTGAGAAGACGAAGGAACAAAAAAGACTGCTAATTTAAAGAGTCACTAAAGTGTAAATACGTTTTGTCCCATACACAATTAAAATCAATCCCAAAGAAGGATAAACCAGTCAAACCCATCTAGCCCAGCATGAAGAAAAGACCTGTGGCTGCTTGTGCAGCTAAAGGCCTACTTTTCTTTATTCCTACACTGTTCCAGAAGGTGGTAAACCAAACTTCTGAGACTCTCTCCCAGGCTGCACCCAGACACAAACACAGCTTCTAAATGTCCTCTAAGCAAGGGAAGGAAGAGACAGGCTATTTTAGAGATGCCTTACTACAGTAAAGTTTAATTAATCAAGAAAATATTCTGTACATGTTACGTCAACAGGGAAATAAAAACAATAATTAAGAGTACAGACTAAGTTTTACACTAATCTATATCTTGTACTGACACCCACTATTATCTTTTATTGAAAAGAAGTAGCTCAGCTGTCTTTGTCACAACAGCTACCTGCTTAAGAAATGGAGACAAGGAACAATAGAGAATGGATGAGAAAACACAGTCAAACAGGAAAGCTGCCTGATGTCTGACAAGAGCTCCACATAGTTAATGAGGAATTAGGCAATAAAGGATTACCCATGCCCTAAACTGAGCCCACTTAGCACGGACATCTTTTCTTGCTCTGATTGGTTTTACTGTCCCGAGTTAATTCAGCTGCTGAAATCCACTGGCAGACTAAGGAGCTGAGCAAAATAAAGCCAGGAAAACCATAAGAAATACCCAAGTACTCTGTGAGGCAATGCAGCACTGGATGTGCTGAGCAGTAAACCAGCTTTGCTTAAATCAATACATTTAAAAACTGTTTTCATGTCTCCATAGCAGCAGAACCCTCTTGAGGAAGAGGGGCCATAAGAACTAAAATTGCTGGAACATTCAGTGCCAATGAATGGCTGAGATGTTGCTTTTATCAGGTACAGAAGCACCTGCTGCTGAAGGGGGTTAGCTCTTCAGGAAAGAAAGGAACAGGCTTCAGGACCCAGCTAGGATTTTACAGCAACAAGCAAAAGCTGCACTGCTTTAACTATACTGATACACCATAACTGTACAGTCTCTGTATAGTACAGTTAGAAAACTCACAGAAAAAACAATTGCAGTGGTTTAAGACTTACTGTCCAGGTGCTTGCTTTCTCCCCAGAGTTTACTGCTCCTGCAGCTGGGCCATCTGAATTGATTGTGTCAGTGCAACTCATCTACTATGGGGCAGCTGGTTTGCACAGCTTTCAGCAGGCAACTTGAGTCAAGCAGCACTAAAGCAGATGGGCTATCTTTACACAATCCCTTTTTCTAACAGGACACTTAGGGCTAGAGCACCTTAATATCACTATCATTTTCTGTAATAAATTGCCCAATGAAGATGCAGTTTACAACCTGCTGCTGCTCAGCAGTGCCCCTCTACAAGGATCTGCCTTCTCAGCTGCCTGGTGAGGCAAACTGAAAGCTCCTCAATTCCCTTCAAAGTGTTAGTTAACCTAGATCAATCCATCTACTGACAGCATCAGACAGATGATTTTGTCTGGAAAAATAAATCAGAGCTTACTAAAAGCACTGGGGTCCTCTGGGGGAAAAGGAAAGTAGTAACATTTTTAGTCACTTATAGGAGCATCTGTCTATAGCCTGATGCAGAGACAGAGTCCTGGCTTCTGTGCAGGTGTACTGGTAACTATCCTGGCTCTAGATCCAGCTGGCTTGGCTGAAGACCACCAGTCCCAGCTGTCCAACATTACTTTTCACCAAAAACCAGCATCTCTCCTTTTGAACAATTAAAATCACTGGACTTCACTAATGATCTTGTGGCAGCAGGAACCTACAACCTCTTATATTACCACAGTGGACCTCCAAAGGAGGTTCTCCGTCTCTAGTCATGTACCTAGCCAAAACATCCACATGGACAGGTCTTTTTGTGTTACAGAAAGATGTTCAGTTTATGATTCTGATTTAGATCATAAAGTTTCCCTTAGTGCAAGTGAAAGAGATGGGCTATTCCAAATGCATTCCTAAAGTAACTGCGACATCAATTTTTCCAGCAACTTTTCCTTCCCTCCCCAAATAGCACTTAGTTCACTGCGAACAATTTTTACCATTCTTTTTCAGAATTGATTGAGAGGAAATAACAACCACTGATGACATTAGTAAACTTCAAAGCTTTTATAGCTGTTGTGAGGAGCTAAACTATCTGGAAGGAATTGCCAGAAGCCTTCTATTATTATGGTGTGCATGCATTGCAAAGAAACATACATCTTCTGCCTAGTCAGTAACTGAATGATATGAGGGACACACCATCCACATTCCTCTCAACTGCAGCAAGTCCAGGCTGAACATTACTTGACTGCTAGTGCAATTTGTTTGCAACAGTATTAACTTCTCAGCCCCTCCCAGTTATTACCGAAGTGGGAAACACTATCATCATCCAGTTTCCCTGGCTGGGGAAACTGATGACCCAGTCAAAATGGGAAAAATTAGAAATTAGCCCAGCTAACTAAAGGACATCTAGCAGAATGCTACATTCTCCATCATGACAGCACTGCTGTTGTATGCTATCAAAAATAGGTGATGACAATGTCTGTAGGTAAAGAGACGAGTGTTTGAAATCCTTTAGATCCAGACCAGAAGCAACAAGCTTCAAAGCAAAACACAAGTTTACAACAATTTTTAAACTTAAGAATAGTCTTCACTTAGAAGTTTGCTGCTTCTATTTCAAAAGTTGTGTCTAAAAGCTTCTCTACTATGCCGCTCCCACCCCCAAAGCAACCCATACTTACAATAATTAGTGGGAATAAGTAATCTTGCCTCTAACTACACCTCATCTTGCTTGTGGCCTGCAGACTAACCTTAACAACCTGTTTTTTTCTAAGGAAGCAATCAGGAAGAAAACCCAGAGTTTCTCAAAACGTGTTTATAACAATTACTCAAAGACAGTCTGTATCAAACAGTCATTTTGATATTATGTATATACCACAACTATTATTGGGGTTTTTTTTTGCCCTCTACAATGAAGGTGTATTTTTTTCAGGACTACAAGTCTCTTGCAACACAGCCTGCAGAGCACTTTTGCTGCAATCCTCTGCTGAAAAACCATGCCACTTCCTACAGTAATGTTTTGCAGGAAGGTCTAATTACTGCACTTGCACTAACAGGCAATGAACTAGTTTTACTCTTCTTTGCTACAGTGAGAACTTTTAAGGTGACTTCAGGTTGGTACTTCTGACTTACTCAGAATCTTTTACTCCAAAACATTAATTTTGAAACTAATAAATTAAACATAGGAATTCCCACTTATTGTAGAGTAGTTTTTCTTGACTTGCATCACTTTGAACTACACATACCAAAAAAGAACATTATGATGGCCCAGGCAGTAAAAACAGAGCTTACTATGCTCCCAAAAGTCTCCAGGCTGAGCCCTACTAGCATTTTAAACCTTACCTATACAAGTTAATGAGGAGTTAATTTTGTGCAAAGCTACTTTGGTTCAACTGTCAATGTTTTGCTTCTACATGTTGGTAGAAAAGCTGCCTTTACAGTAGTTGATCTTTTCCCCTTCCTGTAAGGGACGATTTTATTCCAAATCAAGATGTATACATGCTACTGCATTGCTCTGATCTTAGTTTTAGAAAGACTCTCACACTCTTTAGTTCACTAGACATAAGCTTGCTCTTTTAAGCAAATTGCTTTCCCCCTCACCCCCAACAGGCAGAAGTTACAAAACATTTCCCTCTAGTATTATCATAGGGCAGTTTGTGAACTTCCTTTTCCTTCACAGTTGCACAGAGATGGCCTAAGTTGCATTTTACTTCAGTTATTTACATAATGAAAGTCTTGACAGCTTTTTTGCTTCTTTTAAAATCCTTGAATATAGATGTGTAGCACAAGTTATGCAGTTGAGCCAAGCTTATTAACAGACTGCTTTATGCCTTGATTTGGACTTCATTAGGCTTTACCCTAAGTACGTGAAAGCTGTTAACACAGAGAAAACAGTACATGATATATGAGGAAAACAACCATCTGCTCAAAAGAAAAAGCCTTAATAGACAGCAGCCAACTTACTTGCTAGGCGAAGACAGAAAAATGAAATTATGCAGAGTTGCTGGGCAGTCACATCATAGCGATCCATGAAGAGGTCCAGTAGATAGATAGCGAGATGCCGGGCTGTAGGGCAGAGGTTGCAATGGTTGCTGAGCACAGTCAAGACATCAACGAAGTATCGGCGCATCCCAATCTGCGGTGAACGAGCCTTGTACACAGGCAATTTGAGTTCCTATAGGGAAAAAAATAGGAAGAAAGGTACTGAAACAGAAAGCATTTCAGTGTCTGGAATCCCAAACCAACACCCACCACCTGCTATGGCAAATGCTTAGCAACTACAACACTGATTGACACAGAAATCAGGGCTGGATTACTGCATGTTTTGACAGTCAGTTAACTTCTAATACTTTGGTCATCCACACGCTTTCCTCACCAGCATTAATCATATGGTCAAACACTGTAGTTTGATCCAGGAACAACTTGCTGTTGCTTTCTACAGAACACCAAACTTCTTGGCCATCTTAAAGGATTCCTTTTTAACTTTGTTCACCCCAATTAGGTTGTTACATAGACTTTTAAGAGTTTCATTAAGCAAGAAGGGCAGGATATGTTTCCCTGATACTGCCCCCTCCTCAGCTGCCCAAGTTACTAATATTTAAGAATTTCACATTGTATGTGGCTACAGCAAGCAACAATGAACAAAATGGGAGAATGATTAGACTTTCATCATTATAGCAAGTTCCAGTATTTTCTGTAGTAACCTCTTTCAGCATTTAAAGAGCTAATTATTAAACTGAGACTGTATTTCACATACAATATATGAATTTTCATTTCCAAGGGAGAATTACATAAGTTTATGGTCTACCTATGCTAGCTCTTCACCTGCAAGTGTTTTTACACACAGATTTGTAGCCACTACACAAAGGGTAGCTTAAGGGTGGGAGTGAAGTTGCTTGGGAATACCTGTAACAGGCTAAAACCATTTTCTCTCTTCAGACATGGTCTTATACTAATGCAGTTACCATGGCCAGACTTGAATTAAAATGGGCTGAACACCATGTTAATAGGCATGGATTAGAAAAATACCCTTTCAGCAAGGTGTGCATCTCAGGAATGTATCAAGGTAATACATAATTTTTGCATTACCTATATTTGAAAATAAATCAGAAGTAGTACAGTGCAGCAGGATAGAAGTGGTTTATAATGGAATACAAAGCTGTACATAGCAGTTAATTCTACTACATAAGTAAGGTATTTTTTCAATCAAGTGCTGGGAAGAAGTATCTGCACTGGCTACCCCAATACAGGAGTAAGAGGCAGCACCTTGCACATCTGGCACGGTGGCTGCCCACACTCCTTTCATCCCCTGGAAGGAGGCATTCCACAAGGAGGTTCAACTTATCAGGGAAAAATAGCTACACAATCAGACTCAGAGGGGCACACAACTGGAATCCAGGGAGGCTCCCAAACAAGAAGCAGCTTACAAAGACAGCAAGCTGAGTGCTGTTCCAGATGATTGCTTCCCAGGCCTTTTTAAAGAAAGTCAGTGAAAAACACATTTCGGGCTGAACAGACACATGCTGTGGACAGGCAAACAGCCCTTTGAAACCTGGGACAGCCTGCTCTGGGGGATTAGAAAGAAATCGCCCACCAGTAACAATTTATAAAGCAGGGAGACAATGGGACATGTTCCCCCCCATTGTTTTATACCCAGAAAAACCCCATAAATTTGATTTTTCAACTGCCTTATGTACAGAGATTTCAATCCGTCAGTGCAAGTGACATATACAGTTTCAGAGCAGGAATTCATAGCATACCAATAACAAATGTTCTGGCAGAAATGGTTTAAAGCTCAGTGCTTACATCAGTTAAAATAGCTGCATTGTTTCTAACTATGTCTACACAAAGCACAAGCTAAAGTAAGATCAGGTGGCAATTCTACCTCTGGCATATTTTGTTCTTCTAGGTGACTGGTAGGAGCTTCAAGTTTCATTTTCTGAGATGTTTTTCCTGTTTCAACAGCTAAGTCTCCCAGCAAAATTATGCCATACACCAGGGCCAGCATACATATTTATTGTGATATTTGATTTTTAGACCATAACAATACATAACCAGTAGCCCCAGTTATACATGTAGTCAAAAATTCTGACATGTCTCAATGTTACAGTTCAATGGGTGAGCATTAGAGGCTCAGAATTAAAGCAGAGATCCAGAGTTTTGCATCCAAACCCCTGATGCTCAGAAGCCAGAACTACCCCTCCTCAGCCCACTGCACTAGCAAATTCAAAGACCAGTCAAAGCGCTGGATTTAAGCCAATAGGATTATTCTGTTACCGGTTTAACAGACATTTACTCCCCTGTAACACATCTGCTTTTTTTTATTTATATATATATTTTTTTAACAATCTGTGACTATCAAAGGGCACAAGTGAAAGGCATTTCCATTTTTTTCCACCAAAAACATGCACATGGGCTTCAGTATAATGAGACCTGACAGCACAGACAAGGTTCAACTTCAGGATTACTGTTTGGAGTATCAGAACCATGTGCTGTGGTTTCTTTCAAGATCAAGTTCACAGGTATTAATTCATCAAGGGTAATTATCTGTGTATAGGCAACAGCCTTGCCCTGCACCATACAGCATGAAGCAGTTAGTAAGTGGTTTAATAGGGCTGCTTTTACACTGACAGAGCAGACTTAAATGGCGAGGTTTTCTTTTAAAGGAAAGCAAGTAATGAATAGTTTAACAATGCAAGAACTGAACAGCAGGCTTACGGTTATCAGCACTGCTGTGGGTATGTACCTCCTTCCATCACCCCCCTTACCCAGGATTCTTTAGCATAAACTCATCAAGCAAATAATTATTCCTTTGAATTAAAAAAAGCCTTTGCTGCTTTGGGGATAGTGATGCAGAATCAGCAAACACAACTCAAGGGGAAAAAACGAATTAACTTCTGGAGAGCAAGAATAAATCGTTTCAATTACTTACTTTTTGCCACTACCTCCAGGAAAGACCAAGCCTCGTTGTCTGCTGGAATTGCCCCTTCATATGCTGCTTCTGCTTATCTTTGACCTGTTTATCTACTTCAGCAACTTTGCTTTGGGCTACTGAACAATTACCACATTGAAATGCTAAAAGCAGCAACACACATGTCTTGGAAATTACTTGGCCAGCTTTGCTCAATCTATCGATCAGTGTCTCTCCACAAAAAGCCTCCACAAAGTCAGACCACAGCATTTAAAGGGATCACCACTTAAACTCAAAACATGAAAAATAAGGCTTGGACTGAGAAACAGTGTTAAGGTGAAGACAAATTTTAAGCTGGCACCTCCTACCAGCTTCAAGACCTGACCTTCCAAAAGAAGGGAGTCAGTGTAAACATTTTTAAGTGGTGTAGGGGACAGCAATCACATCTGAAAGCCAGACAGGCTCCAGACATTAGCCATTCATTCTCTGCAGAGACAGCTCACCACCAGTAACCTGACCGCTTCAGCTGGCACAATCCATTACCTGAGCTTAGGAGACACGATTTCGTCTGGTCTGGATGGCTTTATAACTGGACTGAGCAAAAGCACTTCAGAATCCATCCCTAAAGGAGGCACTAGGCAACAAGACTAAAGAAAGCTTTTGAGCAACCACAGGAAGGTGAGGCTTTCACTGGCAATTTAATCTAAATGAGCCAAACAGCGATTGAAGTGGAGAGGAAGAAAATTTAACAGGATCACTTCCTCCAGCTCCCTTAAAGCAGCACCTGACTCAGGCCAGTCTACCCAGCACTTAACCTCCTCCGAGTTCCACATCAGGTGGTCTGGTGTTCAATATGGCAAGAAATTCCATGCGTACATTTTTCTCTGTCCAATTTATTTTCACTAAAACTCTTCTCCCACTGGTAACCAGTAATGAACTGACAAGCAGTCAGGAAGAAAAAAAAAGCAGTAGAAAGTTAGCAAGTGATATGACATTGTGGTAATAAGGTTCACTAATAACGATCAGCTCTCTGAACAAAAGTGGAATTCATCAAGGTATTTTAGAACGACTCACAGGCTTTTTGACAAGAAAAATGAAACGCAGCAAATATGCCTCAGGTTCTGAAATTCAGGGAGCTGTTAACTAAATCTGGTTTTCTACCATGTAGTTTTCTACCAGAGCACTTGGACTTCAGCTGGGATCTGTTCTGTGCCACAGGTCAAACATGCAGCATCTTCTGACTCCTGCAACAGTTCCAGTTCTCCTTGCTGCCCTCCTCCCTCTCCCAGCACCAGCAGTTCCAGCTGCAGGGTACCAGGGTACCAGCTGCTGCACAGCCAATCTCCAGAGAACTGCATCCTCCGTGGACAGCCAAGTAAATTACCTCAACCTTTCTGGAGCAAAACAAAGCACCTGAGCCAAAGCTCCTCAGTAACAGTAAGGACTATTCATCCAGAAATAACTTGCAATACTCCCCTCCACAGACACAGGCTTCATTTACTAATATGAACTTTATACTTCTCTAATTATTATATCTTATTATCTACTTCTGTTTCTGGATACCTCATCAGAATCCAACATATAGCCCCTGCTACCACAGCTCACAAATGTTCACCACTGATCCTAACCCAAAATCTGGAAAAAGAATTTTCCAGCTGATGAAAAAGACACCCAATGAAGTGTAACTTAAGCTTCAACAAGTTCTCCGTGATACTTACTAATCCAGGGGAAAAGTATATGAAACCAAGATACTACTTGTGTGGTGTCAGTATAAGGCACTCAAATTTAAAAGTGCCTTTGCTAAGTATTTAAGTGAGAAAAGTAGGAAAAACCATGGTAACTTCGGCAGTCATTTAGCTCTCACTATGTTGCATGCTCTGGAAAAACAGCCTGTACGTGACCTCCACCAGATTCTTAAGAATTCCTATAGCAAGAATAACAGATACTGCAAAGTTGTTGGCATTAGAACAGGAAAAAGAAATGCCTGTAGATGAAAAATAAAGGGAAAGCTTATCTAGCAGGCTATTAACAGTTGTTCTTTGAAAGAGACAAACTCCTTCCTGTTTTGTGTTCTAAGCAAACAGCTTTCCAGCTGTGGGAGAAAGGTGCCAAACTGACCTCTTGGATACAATTATTGCACTACACATAAGAAACCACTAAAAGCTACCTCCTCTAATGTATTATTTATGCAGGCAAGAAGGTGACATGCAAAGAAAAATTCATACTACTTTTTTATGCAGGAGCTTGAAAATTGAAAGCACTCTGCAGGCTGTTTTGCAGTAGGTAGGTAGCATGCAACCAATTTAATACTGCTATTAACATCATGCTGTTCTTCTCCCCTCCACAGAGCCAATCCAGACTGCAGCACTGTGCCTTCCCGTAACAAAATCACACATAGGAAACTTGCTGGTGAGTGCTTCCATGCTTAGCCGAGTGCAGTTTAACTAATTGATCAAAAAGAGTTAGTGTGTTTGTGAACAGTCTGATAGTAGAGTACAGCTGACGCATTTAGCTTTTCCTCAAGATCTGAACTTAGCATAGACACTTATGCTTCAGGAGTACTACTGAGATGTCACACAAAAACCCTGGGGCAAACCAACACACTATTTCAACTGTACCTGAAAACTTCTTGGGCTTGAATCCATTTCACCCTTCAGCACCCTTGCAACAGCCCCAGGCAATTGAAATTTGCAGGAAAGTTGAACTAGTATTGTGCTTGAAAATCAATTACTTCACATGGTCCACTGTGGATTCTTATCAAGCATTTCATTAAGTCCTTCTTACACACTTCAAAGTACTCACAAGCAGCTAATCTGAGAAGGGTCAGAGACAGGAGTGTGAAAATTGAAATTCCAACTTTAAGGAAAAAGAAGAGAGATCATGAATAACCATGTACTTTATTAGGACACCTGTTCCTTTCAGCTTCATGCACATGCTGCCATCTATAACATAAGTAAATTACAGCAAGCAACCAGTAATGCTATTGTTGCTGATTTTCAGAAGCTAGGGGGTTTTGTGTGTGTTTTCCCTTAAGTGAACAGATTATGCTTTTGTTGCAGTCTTGGATAAAAAAAAAAAATCCTGCTATTAATACACCTCAATGCCTTTTACACCTACTTTCTTTTACAGCTGATAAAACTGGAAAGGTGCATCAGAATGCAAGGTTAATGTTTTATCCTATTAAATGAAATAGAAAAGAGCACAAAACCTTTGCATGTCCACAGGTTCTCATCCAGATCTTGTTTTAAAAAGAAGACCCAGAAGCAACACCTACACGACACCCTAATACCTTCCCTCTGCTCAGAATGTCACTGGCTAGTCTGCACCACTCTGCAGTTCAGGCTGTGTCAGAGAGATCTGACTATGTCAAATTTACCATTTAATTAAGCATTGAAAGGGTGACCATTTTTTAAATTAACAAGGACAAGAGTGGACTTCAGAGGCTAAAAGATAACACAGTACTTTGTTACATCAAGACCTTCACGCTATCTGCAAGTTAAGTAAACCAGATGCTTTGGCCCAACTACATGAAGTACAGGGACATACACTGGATGCAGTGAGAAGGGGGAAGAGGTGGTGTTTTTACTGAACAAAGTTAATAATAAGATCCTGTACTAACAGGAAGATCTAAAACTGCAAGAAATGCATTTATGCTAACATTACTTAAGAGCAGTGAAGGGCCCCTCACAACAAACCCTCTATGGATTACACTCCTGCTTCAGATGACACTCCAGACAAAGCCAAGGGAAATGTTGCATGTCAAAATAGAATGAAACACATCGTGGTGGTAAACAGCATTTCCTCATTAAGATTTTTAAATCAAGAGGAGGTAGGAGATAGCTGTGGAGGAGCATTCACCTAGAGGAAATCACTCATACATTTCTACCACTTAATGGCAAAGAACTGTTTGCTTCCAGCAGAAACAGGATCAGTTCTCCTCACCTGGCTGAAAGCAACTGCAGACAGTAATTTGGACTGCCTTTAAAAAGGTCAAGTTACAATTTTTAACCTTTTAAATTCACAAGCAACAAGTGTAAAATTTGGCTCTGCTCTGAGAAGCTATGCAAGAGATAAATAAAAGGGAAATGTGGGCAGACTAGCAATTCTCATTAATTGCAGGAAATGAACATATCCTGGAAGGAAACAGCCCAACATAAGCACAAAAATGGGGCAGGAATAGCAAACAGACATCAGTTTTTTCTGGGATATTCAGATTGCCTTCTACAACAAAGTATTTCCTCAATTTTAAACAATAAGCAAAAAAAAAGCCATCACTGACTTGTCACTCAGCTTTCCACTCTTATGGAATATTCTGCGCTACTAAAGTGGAGAGAAAAGGTTTGGGCAGATGTTGCAGTAGTCCCACATCCATACAGAGAGATCTCTGATTTTTGACATGGAAGTCAGCTACCCAGCACAACCAGTACCTTTCCATTATCAGTGATGCAGGGCCATTGGAGAAGTTGCCAAGTACCAGAAAATACCACCACATACACACAGCATAGTTTCTTTGCTTGGTGTGTGTTAGACTCTTCTAGTACAAAAACACAGAGTATGCTCCAATTTTTATTTTCCTTCTCAGACAGGTTTAATACTCTGGCCTAATCCAGGAGAATATTTAACCTTTCATTTAAAGCCTAAGGATGCATGTAGCACTATTGAAATGTAGGCATTTTGTTCCACTAGGTCTGCACACTCAGTAACTAACACAATACAACCCTGCTAAGTTGAACACTACGTGCCAATAATCACAGCACAGATATTTTACTAGTCAGACAATTCAGAGGCTATTAATTTCCTCTGCATTGAGCTAGAGCCTTTGGGAAGTCACAAAGCATCACAGCATCTTTCAGCCCTCTCTGAATGAGAACTCAGGTATAGCACGCACATTCAGTATCGGCTCTCATGCAGAACATAACCCATCAGATACAGCACACAGCATCTGTCACGAAGGACATCATCTTTCAGTGAGGTTAAGAAGAATTCCCAAATCCAGCTGGGGAAATGAGAGGGATGGCATAACACTTTCTCCAGTTGTTAACATAAAACCTGGGCTGTTTCATGGTAGGCATATTTCTGTATTTGTGTGCCTAAAATATTTTTTGAGGAAAAAGAAAAAAAAACAAAACACCAAAAGTGCTTTTAATGATCCTTCAGTTGTTTTCAGAAAATATTTGCTATTTAAAACAAATTATTTTAAACTGCCTATTTTTACCAGGGACACATGCTGTTCCAGGCTAAGACTCCTCAGCAAGTGTCTTAAACCAGAAAAATCATTCAGGCTTGAGGGTACCTTTGCCTGAATCTTCTGTACTCACTCCATTAACATGCTCATACACTAGTAATGCACCAACACACTAATACTCTAGGTGCAGATGCCTCTATTGAAGCTTATTCTGTTCTAATGCAATGGCTACAGGTGTCCCTAAAACTGGTCCATGCTCACAACACTGACTTCAGCACCTCAAAACTACTTATCTTCCTGAAACTTTGTTGAGATCCTTTGTTTTGATCCTTTTGAGAAATTCCACAATGCTCTACAGTAAATTCTGACACTTCAGACATCAAAAAAGCAAACCTTGGCAAAAGAAAAACGTACATCACAAGAAGTGAACCAAAGGAGCTTTAAGGCCTGTGATTATTTTTGCTTGATATACTTGCAGTCTGGATTCTCATGTAGTATTTCCTTCAAAAAGAAAAGTCATCCTTACAAGACAGGCAGAATTAGAATTGTCCAAGCAGAAAGAGTTGTAAAGCTTCCTCAGAGCAGAAAATACCCCCTTTTTGGGGATCCTTTGAATTCAAACAATTCTTGTCATTTCAGCTGGCGCAGGCTAGTATCCATATACAAAGAACAAGTTTTTGCAATTTAGAGTCAGATGCATCCAAAAGCAGGCTGAAGAATGAAAGTCGATTAAAAAGGTAGTGGGCACACAAAACTAAATAAATAATCAAAGCTGCCTCACACCCTTCTTTTAACACCCCGCCAAGTCGATTTTCAGTTATTCCTCCCTGTACTGAGGAGGACCTGCCTCAGCTGGAGGAGGCGAGATCTAACGGAGCCCCTCGCAGATCCCTAACAACAGTTAACTTACCTGACATAATTTATTGCTAAAAGCCTGTAAAGAGAACAAAGGGAACAGAATGTCCAAAGCGTAACTTTGCTAGCCTTAACTTTAGCAACTTAAAAGCTATGTCAAGTGCAGGTTGTCAATATTTGTCGAGGCCTCTCTCTCATGTCACCTCACTAAACAGCACTTCAGAGCTCCTCCGAAGTTCGGAGCCTGCCGAAGGGAACGTGAGAAGCTAACGAGCAGCTCGGTGGTACCTGTTTCCCGTACAGGTTCAGCGCACAGCCGCCGGGTTATTCTGCAATATTATTGCAGGACACTTTGCTGGTTTTCTACTCCACGCGTAAACGATACGAGTAACTTCCAGAAAACCCACTACAAGCCCCACTATAGCTGTTTATTCAGCGCCTCTGCAGCCTGCCAAGGAGCAGGATCCCACCTCTTAACTCTAACTCTAGCATTTATCTGTTGGAAAAGAAGCAATGCTCTTTCTCCAGTTCCATTAATACGCTGATTTTTGACGGGTCAACAGCAACATCCTCTTAGGGTTTAATGCAATCACTCATCAGCGCCTTCACCAAGTTAACGCTACAGGGAAGTCACAGACGGGTATTTTTAGGTAGCAGCTTTCACAGGTTTGGCTTTGAAAAGGTCTCGAGCAGAGCACAGGGAAGGGCTCAGTGCAAACCTGCCCCTCCGCGACGGGCAGAAGGGGAGCTGCCGACACCGAGCCCAGCCGGGGCCGTTCCGGGCCCTGCTCCACGGGCCGGTGGGGCGAGAAGGGGGGGGAAGGAACAAAGCGGGATCCAACCTTCATCCTCAGAGTGTGATGGATGTCTGCTGCCAGCTCCTCTTTCCACCACTCCTTCTCCATCCTTTTCTTTCCATCCAAAGGTCTGGAAGAGAAACGGGACCGCTCTGCAGGGAGGGGAAAACAAACCAGACAAATCACCCGAAGCCCCGCGGCCGTTTCCGCCGGCCCTCCCCGCGGCACCAACCGGCCCCGCTATCAGCGCTAACGACTGCTTAACCCTTTGATTTATGCACCACGCCCGGGGCGCCTCCCCAGCCACCCTCCCGGGGCCGGACCGGCGGTCGGGACCTTCTCCCGGCGCTTCGGGAGCGCTGCCGGGCGCGCACCTCGCAGGAGAGCGGTGCTGCTCGGAGGTTTGTTACCCTAACAACCGGCCGGTTGCTCCGCGCAAGGACACGTCCTTCCGCCCCAGCGGCCGTTAGCGGAGGGTACACCTGCGCTGTCCCGCGCGGCAGCGGACAGCACGGGGCGGACCAGGGAGGCTCAGGGCAGACCAGAGCCGCCGGAGCGGTGACCTGGGTCTGTCGCTGTTGGCTGCACCGGAAAAGGCAGTGCACGCAAATCGGCCGCAGAAAATGGAACGTAAAGCGTGTCCCAGTAACGAAGACTCTGAATACTCAATAAATATCCCCAGAGTCAACAGAAGAGATTGACTTTTTCCTTGGCTTATGATTCCCAACACAAGATGCCCTGACTTAAGCTGCCAGAAATCTGTAGACAGAAGTGCTTGCTCATGTCTGAGCATGAGGTTTGGTAGGACTCCCTTTCAGGCCACATGTCAAGGTTTGCCAAGGTCTCACCGTGCCAGAAAACAGCTGTCCTGTGCAGACACTGAGCTGGGACTCAGCTGGGGGTACACTCCCTCACGTTCCCCATGTCACCACGTCTTGTGTCTTTGGAACGGGTTGCATCCCTGTTACGCAGCAGCACACAGCACAGACTACAGCAGGACCCTGCTGTGATGCCACAAAAACTGGAGATGGGCGGGTCACCATCAGAGCTCAGCCTGGCTAAAGCTTCCAGACTGGGCATCAGTCCCTGTGTTGCCCTGGGAGCTCAAGGACGCTCATCCATTCCAAGTTTTAAACCAAAGAGCCCAAGAAACCACCAGGCACTACGGTTCCCAGCCCTCTGAGGAACATCTGTATGGTTCAGTGGATGCTGCAGCAGACTAAACTGAAATTTTCCAACAAGTCATTCTTAGCGCTCTGCTTAGCAATTCCAGGTGCCAAAACAATCACCACAGAACCTGCTTTATACCCAAATCTCACTACTGACCCAGGAAGGATGAAAAATGTTCACAAGAAATGTTAGCAGGCCTAGCAACAGCTTTCCCATTTAAAGAGCTATTTTTTCTCTGTTGATTTCCTAAAGGAAAGGAACAACAAAAATCTGCTGCTCTAGTCAAATGTTTGTGTTGATTTTAGTGTTCTTAGGAAAATATTTTTGTGATCAAAGAAAGTTGTTGGCCAGATCTTCCCATAAGACATACCCTAGTTGTTTATAGTCCCATCTTTGCTGGTTTGGCCCTGCTATAAAAGGCAGGCAGTGAAGTTAAGTGGCAGCAGCTGTTAAGCCTGCAGATAAAAGCTGCCACCAAGTGTCCATCAGAAATAATTTTCCCTTATTTTCTTTTAAGCACATCCTGGAACCCTTAAACAAAGCACTTTGGTGCCTTACATTAAGGCAGAGAAAAAGATATCTTGTCTTTTTCTTAAAACTGAGCATGTGCTTAACTGTTTTGTTGAATAACAGCCAGAGCATTTCTTTACAAGTAGTCTGATCATGGTTTATACAATAATACATCAATTTTCTGTAGCAGCTTTTATATACAAGCCTGATAGCAATAATTCTATTTTTTTTACAGTGTAAATCAAACCAGTAATATTATTTGAAAGAAAGTGTGTCAGTTATTTGAAATCAAATTTCAATGATATGAACATGGAATAGATTTGCAGAGCCTCATGTCCACGGCATCTGTTGATTTAAAGCTCTTGCATTTCCTAAATCTGAATTAATAAAAAATTATCTTGAGATTCCACGTGAAATAGAAAACTGTTCCATGTGATGTTGGGTTTAACTTTGCAGCCAAAAGACTTTGTTTTTCCAGAACGTGGTCCGTGTGTTTCACTCATTCCATTTGAAAACAAATTCTGATGTATTAGAAGTTTCCTTCAGTAACTGCATTGATATTAAAAGTGAAAACAAATAATGTTTTCCTTTCTGCAGCATGGCTGTTAGCAGTCTCAAACAGTGTCTTTGATATCATAAAATATTCACAGTAACAAATTAGAGTAGTAATTCTGGACTTGATAAGAGCTCAGACATAGCCTTGAACCTTGGAATTGCTCTATTCCAAAGGAGGGAGTGCCAGCAAGGCCATGGACATAAACCAGGGGATCCAGAGCTGTTTTGATAGTCAAATGAGCAGCACACAGACATTATCATTATCTGGTTGATATTGTGAAAACTGACTGCAGCTACGGTGTATCATTTTCATCCAAACAGGATCAGTCAAAAACATCATTAGGTTCTGATATAACAGGTAAAGTTTGGGTTAAAAAACAGGCTTTAGCCACAACAGAACTGTGTTGATTTCATTTTCAAGTGTTTTGAAAGACTGACATAAAGATAAAATTCCCTGGACATTTCAAAAGTAGGTTTGCATAGAGTTTATGTTGACTTCAAGAAGGTTTATGTTATTTTTCATCATTAGCAAGTCAAGGCACAGGGGCAGAGTCAGTGAAATTCACCGGTGAAGCTGAATTTGTAAGTTAACAGAATTGTCAATGTTTTCCCTTAAAAAACAGTTTAACTAAGCAAGTTAACATCTTTATCACTAGTGCTACCATTCTGGGTGCTGGGGCAATAAAACTGCTTTTAGGCAGGAAAACTGTCTGAAAACAGCAGAGAATACCAACTGCAAAGTGACCCTAAGTGGCTCATACGGCAAACCCCTATCTTACTGGCCAACATGAAGGGGTCAGAGGACACAGGCAGTCAGCTAAGGAAGCAATGCAGTGGAAATGCGGTGGTGAACAGACAGTCCCATGCACAGAGAGAGGCTGTTGCTGTCTCAACAAGGAGCTGGGCTACTCTTAGTTGAGCCTGGTTAGGAAAAGTGGGCTTTTTAGTCAAGTCTCAGGTGTAACACAAGCAGCATCTGCTCATGCCTGTACACATCAGGGGTATACTCCAAGAAGCCACTGGTGCATATATTCACCCCTCTACCCCACCTGCTACCAAAGGTAGAAAGAAACTTCTTTGGCACCCAACAAGGAGGTTGGTGCAAACAGGGACCACTTCATGCCAGCATAGGGCCCAGCACCCCCTGCTTCTCCTCCCCCAGGTGTGCAACCCAACTTGCTATTACCCAGGTGCCTCCCATTTCACCAGGGCCCCAGAGCTAAATGATGCTCAGCAACAGCTTGAGCATTATTTAAGCCAATTTGAGTACTCTTGCATAGTGAAGTAGTTTTTTTTGTGGATAAGAAGGAGAAGTTTCTTCAATTCTGTTCCTCTATGTTCTTCCATACTTTCTATTACCCTCTGTAATTTTTGTTCATTTTTGTTACATGGTCTGTCTTACTGAACCTAGGTTTTCTCCTAGGTTGGTTTTCTGCTATGTTTAGAGAGAGATATCAGTGCAAAGCAAGGAGGTGCAGCTTTGAGCAGCAAGAGGTAAGAAGGGCCTTTTCTTCAGCAGCATTAAACTGGAATGATGTGATTTGTGGAGTTGTGCCTAAGTCTGCTTGTCCTGTTCTTCTTAAGAGTTAGCACTGGTGGGGCTGGGCAGGGAGGGCCTGATATACTAGTAAGAAAAACACGCAGGGGAGGATTCTGTGAGCTGTGCCCTTGCTTTGCTGGATTAGGCTTAGTCCAGAACCATTACCAAGCTGATCAGAGGCAGGGGGGTTCTCAGCTCCCACAGATGGCAGGGATGAAGGCAGGGTTGAGAGTAGGGCTGTACCTTCTATATGGGACTTATGGGTTTTGGAGAGCTTCAACCTGCTTTCCTTTGCTGTTAGTAGAAACAAACTATGTACAATTGTTATTTTCATTTAGACAATGCTACTGGCTAAGGACTGTCCTTGGAAACTAATTATTAAGCCTGGCTGGTATGAAGGCTTTAACCCCAGTGAGCTGCTGTTGGGTGTGTAGGCATGCCAGACTAATACTGAGACTGTGCAAGGAAAGAGCAGTATTACAGATAGCATTTTAGGCTTTAATAAAATATTGTTGCACTTCTGTGTAGCTTAAAGAGCCTGTTTTATTCAAAGACTTTTAAATGGTCACAGTTCCTAGCTCTCTGCTGATGCAGAGTGGTTTGGGTCTTGCCTTGGAACACTGAGAGCCCCAGGGGATGTTCATGAGCCTGTTGCAGCCCAGTAGCCTGAAACATCTGAGCTTTGTCCCTGAGAGCTAACATGAGGCACTAGCCAGCCCCCTCCCTGAATTTCCCCTTGAACCACATTATTCCCTCATCCCTGCTCCTTCCTGCTCTGAGTACTCACTTCCTTGTTCCTTCTCTTAACTAGTGGTTTATGTGTAAATCAGAATCTCTGTGAACATATCCCTCTTTGTTAGAGGCTTTCGCTTCTTGACCTGCATATCAAGCACCGGGGGACATGGCCTTTCCTGCACAGAGCTGCTGTGAGCAGGGAGGAATGTCGGGTTACAGCAATGCTGTAGTGTGGCATGGAGAGCTGTGCCTCTTGGGCTTGTACTGTCCTGAGGTAGCTCCAGTTTCTGCTGTTGGATATGTCTTGTTTCAAGTGCAGAAGTAGCCCTTGGCAGTGGAAAGGGGCTGCCAGGAGGTGAGACAGTGGGTATGGTGCAGAGAGCCACCAGCATCCATGTAGCCCCAGGGCTGTGTGATGTTATACATTATAATGTGGGCATGGTCCTCAGGGAAGTGGTGCTACTTAGGCAGCACAGCTTCCAGCTGTGACATCACATCATTGCTTTCCAGACACTGTGTACACCATGTCAATGGTTAATGTTAATTTTCCATAGTGAAATATCTCTGTTATTTTCTTTCCATTGCTAGCATTGAAATG